TTTTTTTTTTTTTACCAGATTAAGAACACTATTGAATGGGTCAATTTGGAACTTGGCGCAGTAATGTTGACTGAGGAAAAGTTGAATACGAGCAAAGCGTACTTTTATATTGCTAATAAGTATGACATTGTTGGATTTGCTCTGGCCGTTCAGATTGAGAAAGCTTATAAAGTAATTGTAGATCCTTCAAGTGACAAAGCTCAAAATGAATCTAGTAAAGATTCGAAAATGCATACTGATACTGATGTTGGGTCAGGAATTTTTTGTTGGTAAGAATCGATTTTAAAACTCATTTCACGGCAAATTAAAATAATTACTAAAAGAAAATTTTTTAATAGTACGAATTATATTCGTGCTTTTTGTGGAATTAGTCGCTTATGGGTTAAAAAAGATTATCGGAGGAAAAAAATTGCGTCAAGGCTACTGGATCAAGTCAGGTATGTATAAATGAAAATTTCTTTTATTAAAATTAAATAAAACATATATTAATTCCCTCTGAATATTAGGAAAAATTTTATTTATGGTTGTGAGCTCAAGCCTAGTGAAGTAGCGTTCTCGCAACCATCTGGAGATGGTAAAGCTTTTGCAACTCACTACACAGGAACTCGTGAGTTTTTAGTATACGCTGATGATTAAATCGGTTGAGCGTATTGGACGCGTTTGATCAATAAGTAAAAAATAAAAGACTAAAAAAAAAAGTATATATAAAAATAAAATATTTCGATTTCTTATTTTTTATGGACTAAACGGACTAAATAAAATCTATAACAAAATTTTAATAATTCAAACCCATAATAGGTCTTTGTAAACAAGATTTGGAATTTAAACAAGATTTGATTTGTATAAATATTCTTGAATGTTAACAAAATTTTCTTTAATGGTGCGCATAGATGTGAATCGATATAGCTATAATTAATTAAATGAAAGGATTAAGAATTAAGAATTATATTGAAAAAAAAACAAAATGAATTAAGTATTTACAAAAAATAATATATTACCAGGGTTGCACTTCCTCCTTTATCATTTGTTCCGGAAGAACGAGAACCACCGAAAGGTTGTTGACCTACGATAGCACCAGTTGATTTATCATTAATGTAGAAGTTACCAGATGCATATCGTAATTTGCTTCCAGCGAGCATAATCGCGGATCGACTTTGTGCAAAACTAAATAAAAGAAAATTTTTTATTATTAAGAAATCATTTTTAACTGAATTGATATCTTTATATATTATCAACTTACATGGAACCAGTTAAAGCGTAGGAAGATGTTTCATTAACCAAATCAAGAACTTTTTCGTATTCATCAGCTTTATACCTAGATAACGTATAAAAATGTGGATTAGTAAATTGTTTAAAAGCAAGAAATTCTTGTTGGATCGTCAGAATAAAATATTTACTTACACGTATATAGTAAGCACAGGTCTAAAAATAGAAAGATAAAATTAAAGTTAACAAGTAATTGACTTATTAATTTGCTCAAACTTTTAAATCAACATACCCGAAAATTTCTTCGACCATTGTCCTGCTTTTTGGATTTTTAGTGACGATAATGGTTGGTTGAACGAAATAACCCTTTGATTTATCATAAGTACCACCAGCGATTATTTCACTATCAGCATCTTTAGCTGCCCAATCAATGTAACCTTTAATCTTTTCAAAAGATGCTTCGTGTCTACAATTTAGAAGTTTTGAATTAAAAGTTTTGAAAATTTTATTTTATTTCATTTTATTATTTTTTTTTTTTAAAAAAAAAAAAAAGGCTTCGAAGCTTGTAATAATATCATAGCCGGATAGCTTACATGACCGCTCCCATGAAATTGGAAAAGTCTTCGGGAGAACCGACATTAATTTTGGAATGTTGTTGTAGTAAAAGTTGTCGGAACTCATCCCATAAGGTATCAGGTATATAAGCTCGAGAACAGGCGGAACATTTCTGACCCTGATATTCGAAAGCACTGCGAATTGTTTGATTTACAACATTCGGTACATCAGCAGACTTATGTACCATATGAAAATTTTTGCCACCGGTTTCACCCACGATTCTTGGATAAGATTTATAGGTATCGATATTGTTTCCAATGGTCTTCCATAAATGTTTAAATACAAAAGTGGATCCGGTAAAATGTAAAGAAGCGAAATCGGGGGATTTTAAAATCACATCAGTGATTTCTTCAGCAGGACCAGGTATAAATTGAATTACACCATCAGGTAAACCAGCTTCTCTTAAAATTTCCATTATAACCCAATTAGATAGTAAAGAACTTGGAGAAGGTTTCCAAAGTACTACATTACCCATTAAAGCAGGGGCACTTGGTAAATTACCAGCAATGGCAGTAAAGTTAAATGGGGTGATAGCGTAAACGAACCCTTCTAAAGGACGATATTCGACGCGATTCCAAACGCCAGGAGCATTTTTAGAAGGTTGTTGTTGATAAATCTCATGAGCGTATTTATTATTAAATCTCCAAAAATCAATTAATTCCGCGGCGGAATCGATTTCAGCTTGCCAAGTATTTTTCCCTTGTCCAAGCATTGTAGCAGCCAATAATTTAAATCTATATTTTCCTGCCGCTAAATCTGCCGCTTTTAAAAAAATGGTTGATCTTTCGTTAAATGGATAAGCTTCCCAAGTTGATTTTACCGCCAATGCACCTTCAATTGCTTTTTTAACGATTGAAGAATCTGCCTCGTAAGCTTTAGCCAAAATCGTTTGATGATCTGATGGTATTCTTTGTTCTTGAATTTTATCAGTATGAATCTATTTATAAATGGAGAATGAAATTGATTTTGATTTATAAGAAGACATGGTAATATATTTTATTTTAAGATGACATAATATGCCAGGTAAAAAAAAAAAAATTTACCTTTTCCCCGTTAACGAGTATGGGAATTTCAATGGGTGCCTGAGCTTTAAATTCGTTCAAAGCAGCAATAAGGTTTGCACGGTCCGAACTACCCGGTTCAAAATTCCTCTGATAGAAAAAAATCGTATCTTTTTTTAGATCAATCCGGATAAAAAAAATAAAAGAAAAAAAAAAAGTCTACAATAAATAATAATAATAAAGATAAATCACCATAGGTTCATTAAGGGTTTCGGGCAAACTAAAGGTACCGAGAGTAGCGTTTGTGGACATTGCGAAATAACGTTTTCTCAAATTTAAGAAATTCTTATTAGAAAGAATAATTCGTGAAGGATTTGAAGAATGAAAATTATTTAAAAAAAGAGATCGAAAATTAGATGTGATTTTATACATTACTAACTAATAAGCTAAATTTTTTTGGAAACTGTAACCTGTATATTATTTATAACATTTGCAGACGGGCAGGTTGATCGTGAGAACCTTATTTTTCGTCCAACATTATTAAATCATGAGAAATTTTTACCCCAACATCATAAATTTCCTTTATTAAAAAAAAAAAAAAAATAGGGAAAAACTTTTATACAAATTGGTGGGGATTTACATTGAATGTTCTTTGAAAATTGTATTATTCTTTTTTTTTTTTTTTCCTTTTTATTCGATTGACTTGAAAGTTAATAACGTAAATAACAATCAGTTTATGACAACTTTTCCTTTGCAAATACCCTTGTACATTCAATAATTAATTTTTCCGTTATTCCATAGTTATTAAAAACAAATAACAATAATACTGCATTAATATTGTCTCAGGGTCAGCTGATGAATATTTGGAGTTTCAATTTGTCATATTTGTCATGTGTGATGGAGCGTGTGAATGGAGAGGTAGATATGTTACAAAAAAAGACGACGTCCCCTTTATTAAAGGGATGATATATTCATGTGATTCATCGGGATCGGGTATGTCAGAATATTGTTCAGCGCAGTTCTATAATATTGATTCGTTCTGAAATATGAAATATCGGATATTTCTTTTTTTAATGCAGGGTGACCAACGAATTGAATCGAATAATGAATTTTAATGATACATTAAAAATAAAAAAAATTTTTTTTTATCCTTTGACAAATTAATTTTTTAATTTTTTTAAATTTTATATAATTTTATTAAAAACAAAAAAATCTTTTCTCGATGCATTCGTTAAAAAAATCTTTAATCATCGATCGATCCATTATTATATTTGATATCTTTTATTGGATGAAGATTCCAATTATACGATTTTTTTTTTTTATAATATCCGGTTGCAAATCAATTGCTCATATCATCGATTGCGTCAAATCTTTTAAAATTGTGTTTAGATTCATCATCGTTCAGAATCCAGTGTATGCTTGTAATATATGTATGTAACGTAAATGGAGTTACACGTGATTTAGAAATGATGCAGATCGTGCCTCGATAATGCACATATACGTATAATTTCGTTATTAACTGACTTGAAATAGAAATTCATGGGTTGGTCCGTGATCTTTATGAATGAAATGCTACGTGCTTGTAAGAAATGAATTACTTATTTATTGAAATACTTAAATGGATTGAAAGAAATAAAGTTTTAATTTAGGTTACAACAATTTTTAAACCAAGACACAGATTTCATTTTAAGCGGGGAAAAAGGGCTGAAACAACTGAAAAAATTAATATTTCAGGTGAGTGGTTTGTAAAGGTGAAATGAATATATTAAATACAGATTGTTTACTCCCTTTTTCAAGGTGACACTGTTTGTACACACTTGTGATATTAATAAGAAAATTTGAAATTACCTTATTTAGTTATTTACAAAAAAAAATTTTTTTTTCCTTTTGGACTTTCCGATCGAATTGGATGAAATGATTTTAACGCAATTAGTTAATTAGTTCGTAAATAAATAAGATAAAATGTTCTCTCATTGTATTTCGGCAGGTTATACAAAATTGCTTTACTGGGTATATCTTGAAGCATTTTACACAAGAAATTATAACGACCCCACGAAGTTCCCATGTTTAACTTTAATTTGTAGATCCCTTTGGTTCATATTTTACCGACATAATCCGCTAACCAGTTGAAGAAATAATAGAAAATTTTACAATGCCTAAAATTTTTAGTCCCTTTATAAGGCTGAATTTAAGACAAAAAAAAGCTTCGAGAAAAATGCAAAGCATAATCTTGCTTTTTGCGTTGGTTTTGGAAGATCTTAAAGATGAACCGTTCTTCTTATTCGCTGCTTTTTTGAACGAGAGAAAAAATCGACAGTGACACAGAATAAGAATCATTTTGGGAAATGAATCATAATTTATTAGCCTTCAACAAAGATTTCTTTATTATTATTACACCTTAAATTCATCACGGTTAATTTATTTCCTTCAAAAGAGAAAAAGTGAGTTTTAGGAATTTCTTGAAAAGGATCGGCTATCAAAAAAATTTTTTTTTTTTTTGTTTATTAATTGCCTCCCCCTCCATTTTACACAATTGAACCCTTTTTTTTGCCCACCCATCAGCAGATGTGGTGTTGATTGATTGATTATCGGAGTTTTTATTTTATTTTTTTTTTTTTACAATAATAATAAATAATAAACTCTCTGTTGAGTCTAAACTTGGTTTATTTCCTAATTTTTCTTATTTTACATCCCCTTTTATATCAATTAATATTTATTTCTGTTTTCATTCCACTCTCTTCCCTTTTGTGTGCTTCGTTTGGAAGCAAATAACAGGAAATAAAAAAATAAAAATTAAAATTAAAACAATTAAAACATAAACGAGCTAACGAAAATTTACATTTTAAACTCCAATTTATTATTATCATAATCTTTATTTTTTTTTTTTTTTTTTAAAAAAAAAAAAAAACAAACCTTATTCCTTTCTTTTTAAAACATTTATTTCAAAAATTAATAAAAAAAAGTTTCCATAAATCTTTTTCATGTAAGTGTTGTCACCTTTTTTTTTTTTTTTTTTCAAAATGAGTCGCGTTTTTTTTCTCATCTGCAAAGGTTGCTTGTACGCTATTTCGTTGGTTGCTGCGGAACAAACATTCCAAGTTCCCACACCTATAATATACGCACAATATATCACACACAACATGATACTGTAAATACACAACCACAGTCACCCCCCTTTCCTTCGCTTATTGGTTCCTTCGATACCCTGGTGTATTAATTGATTTTTTAAGAAAACACGCGCCTCACTTTTTGTATTGTTTATGCATATCATATTTATATTTAAAGGTAACATTTTTGTTCTTCTCGCTTAGATTTTAACTTAATAACATGGCCACCGCTATTTCTACAATGGGTAACTCGGTTGGATTGGAAGAAACTACTGAAGTGGTCGAATATACTGAAGTTGTCGAAGAAGTTGTTCATTTGGAACACTCTGAACTCTTGGATACCGTTGAAGAAATCGATGAAACTGAAGTTTCAAAAGAGGAAACCCAACTACAGCAACAAAATGTTGAACCTTCCGATTGTCCCTCACAAGCTGAGCAAGTGGAAAAAATTAGTTTACATCATGAAGTAACTAAACATTCTGAAACCACTGGAAAAGGTGAAACCTCAGTTGAAAATATTAGAATTATTGTAGATACCGAGCGAACTCAACCTTCCGAGGTCGATAAAGAAACCGAAAAAACTGATTCCGAACGAACTGATAAAGTTATAGAATCTCAATCTCAACCGCAATCAATGTGTGGTCTTCCAGACGATTTTGAATCAGAGAATCAACGTGAGTCCGAAACTCAGCACGAAAATGTTTCGGTTTCCGGTGAATCCAATGCTACGGAAACAAAATCTGATCCTGCCGATCCTCTGACTCCTCCGAAAAGTCCAACCGATGAAAAGGAAAAAGAAAAGTCGGAAAAAAAGATTGCTACTAAAGTTACCACCAGTAAAATCGCAAAAACTGCTTCTAGTTCTAAACCTGGGGCGGTTAAAAAACAAACTGCAACTAACACAACTACCACAACTACCGCTAAACCGACACGTGCCCGTAGTTCTTCCATCAGTAAATCCAATCCTCCTCCGCCATTAACCAAGACACCAGGAACGCGCTCCTCTAGCACTTCTAGTAATTCGAGAACTCCATTGACCCCTAAAATTCCCAGCAGTCCTACCACGGCCAAAGCGTCAACATCATCTAAAGCTACTACAGGTTTGACCGCAAAGAGTCACGCTTCGAAGACTACAACCGTCAAAACCAATGCGATAAAACCTACTGCGCCAGGTCTTGCACGTAAACCATCGCTTAATACGACTACTACTAGTGTTGGAGCAAGTTCGACAAAAAAGATAACCGTTTCAACAACTTCTAAAACCACAAAAGCAAAAGCTACCCCCCCTGCCACTACTACAACAGTAAAAACGATTACTACGAAGGCTAACGGTGTTTCTGCAAAGGCTAATGGTGTTGGTGCCGTAGCTAAGGTTGCTTCCTCGATTGATGTTAGTCTTAAAGAGAAGGTTTGTTTGACATCTGTCATAACTGCATTCTTTAATATTTTATTAATTATAAATAATCTGTGGCAGTGATCGTTGTTTAACATTTTTTTATTTTATTTCTTACCTATTACTTTTGAATAGACCGAAGAACTTACCCGACTTCTTGAAGAAAAAGATAACATCATAAAGTCAAGGCAAGAGGAATTAGATGCTTTAAAAGCTAAAATAGAAAAGGGAAATGATAGTACTAGTGAATCTGTTGAACAACAAGGTCATCATTTGGAAGAGTTAAAAAAGGCTCATGAGGAAGAAACTCAAAAGGTAATGGAAAAAGATGTAGCAATTCTTGCCAAAGAAGCCGAAATTTCTAAACTTCGTGAAGAGATTGCAACTTTAAAAGAGACTATTGAATCCTTAAACGAAAAAATTGAGGTGAGTATTGGCTTATATTTTCAACTGGTATGATTGATTATTATGGATCGTGTTTATAACATTCGTAAACTTTATTTTGTTTTAAATTAGAAACTCAATAATGATCGAGAAGCAAAATTAACGCAACTTAAAGAGAATCATACTAAATTAATCGAGAGTCTTAAAGGTAGCCATGATTCTGAACTTGCAGATTTAATTCAAAAGGTTAAAGGCGGTGAAGCTATTGCTAAAGAACTTGAAAACTCAAGATCTGAATTGGAGGTTAGTATTCTTCACGAATATTTTATATGACAAGAGAGTTTACTAAATAGGTTGTTCTCAATCAATAGGATGTCAAAAAGAGCCATTTTGAGCAATTGAAAGATTTAAAAACACAGCATGAACTTGTTCTCGAACAAGTTAAAGAGCAAGCAAAGAATGAATATACGGCAACTTTGGAATTTGCTCAAGGAGGAACTGCAGTTGCTGTTGAAGCATTGAAAATCAAACATTTGGATGAATTGAATAAACTCGAGGAAAAACATGAACAAACGTTACAAAAATGTCAAAATGAGCACGATAAAGCGATAGAGAAAGTCAAGAGCGAAGTTCAGGTATCAAAGTATTCCCTTTTTACGATTGCTATATTTATAACTTTTCGCTAATGTTTATTCTTTCCCCCCAAAGTCCGATATTAAAAAAAAATTTGAAAACCTCGAGGAAACTCACATGAAAGAGTTGGATTCTATTACAGCTAGGCGTGATGCCACGATCCAAGAAATGGCTTCTCTTAAATCTCAACATTCTCAGGCCATTGAGGATCTTAAGAATAGTCATGTTCAAGAAATTGAGCTAATCAAGTCATCTGCCGATCAAGAACTCGTTAAAAAATATGAAACAGAATTAGCAGCACTCAAAGCCGCCACACATGATCAAAGTGTAATTCAAGATTATGAAGACCAAATTAAGGAACTTAAATCTCAACACGAAGCAGCTTTAAATGCTATTAAAGCATCAGATGAAAGCATTAAAAAATACGAGACTGAAATTGCGCAACTCAAGGCTATCGTGGAAGATTTGGAATCTCGTCATAAAAGTCATCTTGAAGAGAGACAAGTAGCATTCTCTACAGAAGTTGAGGAAATGAAAAATCGTCATGCTCAAGAACTTGATGAATTAAAAAAATCTCATGTTGAAGCTTCTGTAATAGACAAATTGAAAGCAGATCATGATAAAGAATTAGAAACATTAAAAGCTCTCCATGCTGAAGAATTACAAAAAACCAAAAAAGAACTTGAGGAAGAAATTGAAAAAATCGCTTCAAATCGCCTCCAGTGTATTAAAGAGCTTAAAGAATCCCATAGCAAAGACATACAAGAAACGATCAATTCTATTGAGCAAGAAACAAAAGAGAAAGAAGCAGCTTTATTGTCGAAAATGGAAGAACTTCGAAGTGAATCGGAATTGATGATTAAAGAATCCACGAAAAAACTAAAGGAAGCCGAAGCTAAAGTTGAAGCACTAGAGGTTTGTTTGTTTCAAATATAATGATTTTTCCTTGGAGTGTTTATATTAAATTATTCAATTTTTTAGTTATTGAAAATTGAACATCAAAAAGAATTGGAAGGATTACGGTCCGAAACTACTTGCGAACTTAATGAACTGCGTGATAAAGTTGCATCATACAAAAAACAAATTGAGAGTCAAGAAACCGAAATGAAAATGTTCAATGAGGTTTGAATTATTTTTTTTTATAATTTGCTGATGTACGTTATCAAGTTAACATAATACGATAATAATAAAATACAATAATTAGAAAAGCGAACTTGAAATGGACAATATGAAGAAAGAATACGAACAAAGCCTTGCTAAACATGAAGAAGAATTGGAACAATTTCAAATCCTTCTTGAAAAAAAGGAAAAAGAGGTTGATGAATACAAATCGAAATTTTCAGTAAGATTTTTTATTTGATATATTATGATTGAATGACTTAGAATTTTGATTAATGACTTTTTTATGTGTTTATTGTTGAAATTAAAGAACGGAAATGGTGCATCACATAAAGATCTTGAAGAATTGCATCAAGCCCATAATGCAAAAATAGATGAACTTTCTAAACAGCTGGAAGATAAGGAATCTTTAATAAGTTCACAAACCATGGAAACCCGATGGCTTGAAGCAGACGCTGAAAAGCAAGACGTAAGATTAATTGCTTTAAATAAACTTTTATCCTCAAATATTTATTTTTCTAATTCTTATTCCAACTATCAGCAAAAGATTGAGGATCTCAGTAAAGAGGTCGCGAGTCTTGGTAAAGAGAACGATGTATTGAAGGAGGAAAATGATCGGTTGATCAAGTTGATTCATCAATATCAAGAACAATTAATCAATCAGTCTTAATTTTAATTTTATAATATATCATGTGTGTAATTAAGGATATAGAAGAAATACCGAAGAATTATAATGTAATATAAGGAGATATTAAAAGTCTCCTTTTTGTTTTTGTTCCTCCACATTTTATCTGTTTATTTTAATCACAAATTTTATAATTTATATATATACTTCACCTTATCTTACTTGATGTAATATTCCAGCCGTACGTTTGAGTCGTCATATTTAGTCAGTGAAAATTTGTATAATTAAAAAAAAAAACTGTGAAAAAAAAAAAAAAAAAAAAAAAAAAAAATTAAGAAAATTCTCTTTAATCGCCCGTTTGGTCAACTTTTTTTTTTTTTTTTTTTTTTTTTTTTTTTTTTATCATATATATAATATAAATTAGTATTATGATTTTGGAACGTTAATTCCAAAAAAAAAGAAAAAAAATGTATTTAAATATTTAATAGTTTTTCTTTATTTTATCATTTGTATTGAAGATTAAAGAAACTTAATACATTCAAATTGAATAAAGGATTTCGTTTATTAACCAAAAACTTATTAGTATCTACACCTGATTCGTTTAATTGCCCGGTCGATGTCGCCGACCTCAGCTCAGATATCACTGACAACTAATTAACCATGGTTAAATTATCGTGATTAATTCTCTAATTTAAACCCATGAAATCATCTTCCGAGAGCAGAATGAAGAGCGTCAACTTGATGTTTAATACTTTTACTAAGAAATCAATTTATTAATAAAGAGAGAATAAAAGAGAATTCTTATATAAAAAGGGTAATACTTACATTTGACTTGCCAAGGTTTGTACATGAGAAAATTCTTTATCAATTCTTACACACAGTTCAATTAATTCATTGGATTTTTTCGTTGCATCATTAATAACCATACAATGATTTTCAACGGTTTGTCTGTAAACTTCAAAGGAAGCTGTAGTTAAAACCGACGCCTAAAATTTTATTTGAAATTTACTTTCAATTATATATTATTTTAAAAATGTAAAGAATAAAAAAAACTTTTACCTCAAACATTTGAGATTGTAAGTTACGTAGCATGGTTTCTAATTCATTAGAAATGCCTTGAGCTTGTTTTTCTAATTCAATAATCAGATTTTGATTTAATGGTGGATCGGATTTCATTCCTATGTAAAATGAATTTAAACTATCATCATCTAGTTCTAGCGAATTAGTCGTCAAGATTGATTCGGCTTTATGAGAGGAAAGATTTTCCATCTTTTAATATCAAAGGAAAAAAAAAAAAATTTGTTTTAATAAACAATTGTCATGGAAATCATTTATACAGATGTCGATCGCAAAATTTTTTACTTTATAATAGAATTAAAAATATTAACCAGAAAATAAATTAAAGCTTATTAGACAAATATTTAAATGAAAATTAATTATTAATAAATATTAATATAAGAAAAATAATCTAGAGATTTAAAAACCTTTATTTGCTTCAAAAAAAAAAATAAAGCATGAATTAATGTTAAATCTATATTAGTATTTTAGAGATCAAATTTCATCACAATTGTAATTAATGTGATCAGTTTTATAATGTTCCATTTATTATCTTAAATAATATATAAAACTACTTTCATATAAAAATAATAATAATATGAAGTTATTTTACATTAGATTTACTGAAACACAAGAAATATAGTATTATCAAAAGTATTTTGAAAAAAGAGTAAGATGAAAAATCACTTATATTTTCAAATAAATAATATTTAGACATTAGAGAAGCGTATTTAAGAAAAAAAAGATTACTTATAAAATTTATCAAAAAGAAAAAATATTAAAAAAATGAAATAAAAGTATATTATTATCTAATAAAAACAGAATTTTAGAAGAAAAATAATCTTATTACTATAATATTGATTTATTTTTTCCTTTTAATTTTTTGAAACATAAATCATAATATTATAAAATTTAAAAATTATACTTGTTATTCATTATCAAATAGATTTATCATCACAATTTTTTCTATTTTTTGAAATATTATTTTAGCAACTTTAATAAAATCTTCATTTTTAAATCAAAAAGAGTAATTTTAACATAAAAGATATTAGATTCAGTAAAATCTAAAAAACTTCTAATAAAAGTTATTATCAAAATTTAAAAAATCATATAATTAATATAATTACAAATCATATAATTTTATTAATTATGCAAACTAAAATAATAGTAAATATAAAAAAATTAAAAAATTAAAATTATTTAAATTATAAATTACAATAAACATATTATAATATTATTATAAAAAATAAATTAGTTATAATATTTATAATATTTTAAAAAAAAAAAATAATTATTTAAAAAAAAATCTTTATAAGATATAATATCATTTCAAATATTTTAAGTCTATAAAATTTCTAAAACTTTTGCTATAAGAGTAAAAAAAAAAAGAATTTTAAGAATTAATAAAAGGAAGTAGATTAAATTAATATAAAACTTCTTTAGGTTAATTAATTTTTTTTCTGTTTTATATGTATTATTCAAAGATTATTATAAATATTCAAATAAAGATTAACTGAAAGATAAGATAAGTGATCTAAAAATCTAACATCTTTTTTACTCAAGCATGTTATTTACTTTGTTTTTTATATATTGAGATAATTTTAAGCAATAAAAAATTTTTTATTAGAATAAATAATTAAGTATTCATTTAAAATTAGAGAATAGATATTAGATACATTTGCATCAATAATATTATATACTTTATAAATAAATATATATATATATATATATATATTAGATAAAATATAATTGAAAATATACTAATTTATATTATTAATAAATATTTACTATTGATTATAAAAACTATTAAAATAATTGCATTCTTTCTAACAATCTTTTTATTTATTGATATAATTTTTTTTAAATAGAATTATTTGTAAGCTTAATAATTAATTGATTAGTATTATTAATATTAAATGAATTATTTATATTAGCTTAATTATTAAAAATTCTTTTTGAATGTTATTGAAAATCATCATAAAAATCCTTTAAATGTTAAAAATAAATTAAATTCTCAAATGCTTTTAAAATATTGGTTTTGATTAAGAATATATTACAAAATAAAAAATTCATTAAAAAATTTTGATTTCATCATTTTCATTAATAAAATCTTTAGTATTATTGATTTATCTAACAAGTTATAAAATTTCAAATGCCAACATTTTTAGATTCTATTTCTTGTTTTAATATAATATAAAATTAATGAAATTATTTAATAAAATTTAAATGATTAATAAATTAATTTTATATCAGATAGATCCTGATCTTGATCATTTTCTTCTTATATATAATTTCAACCAATAATAATTTAGTAAATTATGTTATTACATCTTAATATATAAAAAACTTGCTTTAATTAAACAAATTAATATTTTGAATAGAAAAATTTGGATAATTACAAATATAAGTATTAATTGATTATCTCTTATTTGAAATTTCCATCAAGAGAAAACGTTAATTTTATTTTATTTATTTTTTATTTTAATTAAACTAATTAACCACTTTGATTTCTTCTTGCAAAGTAGCAGAATATTTTTTTAATTTAATAAAATCGATTCATATATATGACAGACACTACTCTATATATCTCATATACAGTATATAAAAGAAAAATAGATAAAATGGATAAAGTAAAACAAACTTAAAAAGAATTGTTTCATCAATATTGAATAATACAGTAGCGGTCATAAGTATCCGACTGCCTCTAACTCTGACTATAAGTAAGTAAATTCAAAATTTTTTTTTATTTAAAAAATACATAACCAACAAACTAAAATTAATACATTGTGTAATCACCATCTGACTCTATAAGTGCAGCTATATGCCTTTTCATGCTAGCTACCAAATTCACGGCAAGTACAGGTAATAATTGGTTCCATTCTTTTGTAAGTTTCCCCTTTAACCCTCTAATTGATCGAATTTTTTTTTTTGTATATTAATTTTCATTAACCTTCAAACGTTTTCTATAGG